CAAGTGTTGTAGAGGAAGATCCAAAAGGCGGCAGAAATTTGCGCGGCATAGTTGTCCTTACCAAAGGACGTGGACACAGCGAGGGCAACCATACAAACGGACATGCCACTACCACTGACAATGAAGGCAGCCCGACGGCCGAAACGATCGATGGTGAAGAAGGCGATGAAAGAGGCAAGGAACTTCCAGGTGAGGGTGCCGCCCGACATGATGCGAGATTGTTGGCTGGACATGCCCAGATTTTGCTGGAAGAGAATCGGCGCGTAAACGCTGACCAAGTTGGAACCACTGTGTCTTATATTAGTCGCTGTTTATCCCAGAAGAAAAGCACATTGTGAGTACATACCACATCTGCTGGTAGAACTGGAGACCCATGCAAAGCAAAAAGCGATACAACAGCTTGTCTTCGCCATTCTTCAGCATATCCTTCATTGAGACCGCAGTACCCTTCGTTTCCTCAAGAGAGTACTCGATGCCGGACAATTCGGCCTGCACTTCGAGAGAGTCCTCCGGCAGCGACTTTAACACTGCAATGACAGATCGTGCTTGTTCAGAGCGGCCCTTCATAACCAGCCATCGGGGCGACTCTGGGAAGAAGTAGATGGAGACCATGAGGACGATCGAAAAGAAGCAGGCGATGGCTAGAGGCGGACGCCACGTGATTGGGCCCGAGTGGAATTGGAAGAAGCCGAAGTCGATCCAAGACTCAAGCATATACCCGACGCACATGAAGCATCCTGACATGACAACCTGACGGCCACGGTTGGCTGCGGCGGACGTTTCGGACTGCCAGACGGGCACAATCGAGCTGAGTTGACCAATACCAAGACCACAAATGACACGACCAATAGTGAACTGAGGCAGACCGAAAGCAGAACACATCAGGGCTTCACCGATCAAGGTGAGAACACCAGAGAAGAAGATGATGTTTCGACGTCCATAGATATCGCCGGTCCAGGAGCATGAAAGAGAGCCGATCGTAGCGCCGATGGTGAAGGTAGCAACGATGAATCCTTGTAGTGTCGAGTTTCGAGATTTCTCTGCGCCGGATGTGTTGACAGTATCGATTTGGGGAAAGGTCTTGACCCAGTCCTCCTCGGTGAGCAGACCGCCGACCACACCGATGTTGTAGCCGTAAAGAATGAAACTGGGTGCAATGATGAGGATGATTCTGAGGGTGTTGAGGGCATCGCCCGTAAGGCCAAAGTACTTCTTGGAGCCCATGATTTTCGCGATGCACCAGATCACGCAGACTGGGTTGGAAAGACAGGACGGAAAGAAGAAAGACGCAGAGTTGAAAGTTTCTTCTTGGCCCTTGGGATCGGGCAAGAGGCCAGCTTTTTAGCCTGTCTCTTCCCCGTGGGCGTTAGCTCCATGCTCCACGAGGGGAATAGATAACTCCATCATGGAGCTCGGGGTGCTTATGGAGCCGGGTGTGGGAGGATTGCGGAGGTACCCAATCCCTTCCGTGGTCCCCCATGGAGGCAGACGCGGAGGCGTGGGGCCAGGCCGACGGGGGATGGGATGGACCCAGATAGCCTGCCCGCCCTGGGGAGATCTTCCGACTCAACCGTTTCTCAAAGGAATTGCTGCTTCTCTCATACGATACCGACAGTCCTCCCCCGGAATTGACATGCCGGATTCTTCTTAACTTCCCGTTTGCGAAATCTGGAGCAGAGCGGAACTGGTCCGGAGGTGATGCAGGGTCGCATAGATTAGAATGCAGACCAATCATCTCAACTCTGATTGGCGATGCTGGCTAAGAGCCGCGCTGCCAACTTGCCCCTCCGCCAAGGTGTGCCAATATCGAAGTGGTGAGATTACCCATATATGAATTATGTCCGGTGCCTATGACGAGCTTCCCACAGCTTGGCGAGCTGATGTTTACCAGGGCATCGACTGGCTTCACAGGCTCGGCCACGGAGTCTGCGTCGTATGCGATGAGAGTGACTAGGCATGGACCCAAGAAGCCCAGGACGCCTCTAGCTTACCAAACACAACCATCGTTTGGCCGACCAAGCAGAGGTGTCTGCATCGGCATCGCGGCATCTTGAGTAGGGAATGTCCATCCTGTATGAGTATCCAGCAGCATCGGAACTTCGGGAGAGCAATGCACACGTCTTCATATATGAATCGTGACGCGCGACGACCGGACGCTGATCTTTGAGACCAATGTGAGAACCCGCAGTTGGGCTGCAGGAGACGTAGCCTCCCTGCTTACCCCCTCGAGAGTTCCGGTCTGCTTGTTGTTGACGGACTCGCCACGGAGCATTGTTCTCGACCCATTTCGGTGGAGAGGGCGCGGGAGCAAAAGCGCGAGTCGCTCTTGTCCGCGGTGTTTTTCAAGCCCGCCGTTGTAAACGCTTGTCCGTGGTCTTTTGTAAGTCCGCTACTGGAAATCACATCAAAACAATACGCTTCGACTTTCACCTGGTTCGTGAAGCACATTGAACGCTCCAACAAGACTTCTGTCGTTGTTCTCGCAACATTGTGAGCGATCTGCAATTCGGAGCGGCAAGCGGCTTGGAAAGGCAAGTGCGGTTGGGTTGCCAATGATCCAAGTGCTTGGCTGTCTGCCAAGAGCGCGGCAAGCTTTTTTGAGGCTCAGTCGAGCGTCCGGGCGCAGCAACGGCCAATTCCCAGCCCGGGACCGGGGGAGGAACTTTGTACTCCCGTGCCGTGCCAGAGAAAGTCCGGGGTTAAGGTACGGGGTCTGCTAGGATGGCAAGGACGCTAACCTGGAATGAACATCTCGCTTGGCGGTCCGCCAAATTCGCGACAACCCATCCAGGGCTGTTCCAGACAAGGCATCCATGATGGTGGTCGGGTGCCTGCCAGTGACGCAGGTAGGTGTCAGGTCACCGTTACCTTACGCAGAGGGCGTGTTTGTGCTGCAGACCCTACGTATGGGGAGGGGGAAGAGGATTGCTGTGAGTTGACGCCCTTCGAGCTGCGCCGCCGTCCGGCTGCCGGGCCTTGACATCGCCGTTGGGACGATGGTCAACACATACCGTCCCCCAGAATTGGGATTATGGTTGCACACCATCGCCACCAGCCTCGTTTCAAAGCGCCGAGATTTGCTGTCGACGGCTGCTTGCGCTGGTGCTGATCACTTCATCTCATGTAGGCCTTGCCTTTTCACGCGCCTGCATCGTGTGAAGTCTAGGCTTCCGCACCCCGACATGCGTGGAAAGACTCAGTTTGGAATGACGGGACTCTAAGGCCTCAGCTACATGTGGACCCTCACTATTGATGGTGACTCACAAGACCACCTGCCACGACAAATGCAACCAATATGGGTAGGCGTATGCAAGAGAAATTTCATCAACGTCGCGCGTTAGCAATCCACTCCATGATTTGTCTGACCCTGGTGGCGCTTCTCACCGCATGCGAGCGATGGTCTCAAGGCGGGATGGCTGAACACATACCTGCAGCCATACATGGCTGGTGGCTGGCATACTTGAGCATCGATTCTGCCTCGCTCCGGGGGAGTGGCGTCGCTAGAGTTTCCAGAGACGAGAGAAGTGGGAAGAAATGCACTTCACAGTCCTACCTATGTGCTAAGTTGAAGCACTGTGCTGCCAACAGGCGAATGGACCTGGTAGACTAAGTATCCTGTTCACATAGGACTTTAGATACTGAGACCTGAGGGTGCGATGGCAGCGCCACGCGATGGGTTTTGAGTCAATTTCTAACAGCCTATTGTCATCTTGTAACCAAACCTGTGGCAAGAAGGATCACCGGCAGCAAGTTTGAACATACGCTGGTATTTGGTGTTTCCGTCAGCCCCCGAGTAGGGACGGTCCGCTGGAACGGCAGCCACCAGGAAGTGGAATCTTGAGTTGAATGGGCGGCCTTGCGAGTGTCCTTAGTCAAAGCTTATAGAAACTTTCTTTTCGGGCCTTCATGTAGACTGGATGGGAGCCCTGGTGATGACCGCTGTTGTTTCAAGCTTTTTGATCCCGAGTACCTTAAAGGAACATCCTCAACTGTATTTCAATCGTATAAAAATTTCCGGGCTGAGTGTTGGCGCATGGTCGCTACAAGCAAGCGCGCAGCAACCATGTCAGTCCGTACATCTACAGGATGTACATCTCTTCCGGTTGCCCGTCTTTGGATGAAATTTTTTCTCGTCCCGCGCGAGAAAGTTCACGCGGATATGCTTCTCTGGTCTAGTCTGGGCTCTGTAGAGTGAGCCTCCACTGCCAAGACTTGGGATGTAAGCAGCTTCAACATTCCCCCGACTTTCCTCACAACTCCACCGAGCTACCTACCCGTCTTGCCTGACAGGCCGCGGCGGCATTCAAGGTTATGCCTAGATTCGTCCGCTTGGCCTTCTCGCTGATCTGCCGCTCTGTACACCCACCAGCCCGGCAATCTGGTCCAAAGTGCTGCTAGGGGTCTTCCCTTCCACCTTGCCTGTGAAATGAGGGATGCCATGGACCGAACAGATGCTTTAGCTCGGTATCTCCGCGACAGCCCTCTTGGAGCTACAAATTTAGCTGTTGTTGTACGAGATCCTTGATAGCCTCCCGTCTATCGCGGTTACGCCCTTCGCGGGGTGGGGTGGTCGGAGAAGTCCTTACTGTGCATCCTCCGGGCAGTCTGAACTCACGCCGATGGCGTTCTCTGCGCATTGTTGGGACTCTGTATCTGATAATAGTGAATGATTTCATATGCGGCTAAAACCAGGTATGCCTCGTGTTATCTAACACATGGACTAAATAAAAGACGCACACTGACGAATCAGATGGCAAGCCCCTCATCGTCAGTCCTTGGTGAAGCTGATGGGCGTCACGACATACGTCGCGCTAATAATAGCAAGGCGGGCTGAAAAAGATATCGAGAAACTCAGCTGTGGCATGTCCAGTTCATTGATGATTGCCTTCCCATTTTTTTGGACCTCGTATCGTACAAGATCTACTAATATAGTACAGTTGCTGGTGTCAAAGCGGCAGGAGGCTGTAGAACGGGCGGCATGCTTGAACGCTTCGAGGATTTTATCGTAGACCAGCGGCAGCCTCCCTCTCTGCCTTACGCGCTGCGATGCGCTTCTTGAAGCGAACCTCACCCCTCCTGCGTTCACCACCATCAACCTTGTGACCCTGCTTGTGCTCCCACATACCCTCCGCCACAACCACACGAGCTCCCTCGCCGCCCGGTAGAGGCAGGGCATGAGGGCCAGAAATCGTGTTTGCGCCGCGCACTGTGTAGCCCGTAGGCTTTGTGAGTTGAGCGATTTGCAGGCTGCTCACGTCGGCGTCCGCCGGCACGTTGACGACAATCTTCTTGTCTGTCGCGGGGTCTCGGACGACCTTCAAGATGGCCTCCCCACTCTCGACATATTTGAAATCGCCGCCAGGGCCAAATGCGCCCTTCCTGTATCTATCCAGCCATGAGAGGAGGTATCGTCGTTCCCTTGGTGGCTCGAGGCCAAGCTCTCGGAGCTGTAGCGATGTGAGGGAGAACAGAGCATCCCATGTGGGGAACTTGTCGAGGTGCTGGTTGAGGCCGCGGCCGACGACCTTCAACAAGGTCTCAACATCGGGAATGAGAGGTATCGGCGACGGAATCGGCGGGGCTTCTCTGGTTTTATGAAGCCACCTCGTCTGGCATGTCGGGGCGACGGGGGCCTTGCGGAGGAAAGGACTCAGGAACTGCTGGAACCGAGATGCCCTCATGTTGACCTAGGGCACATGTCAGTACCAATGGCGGTTTCTGAGGTGTTCACAAGGCATGTAAACATACAGTGTGAGCTTATGAGCTTCTCAAGCCAGACAATTGGCTTTTTACAAGCTTGCACGTAGCTGTCGTCGAGGTATTGAAATTTCGCGATGTTACTCAACTTGCCTCCAATTTTTGCTCTGCCAGGCGCTAACGCTCGATAATTTTGACTTACATAATCGTCCCATTGGACGAGAATTGAGTGGTCTGAGTTTCTCTGTCTGTGCCTGTTTACCGCCTTCTTGTTGTGGTCTAGCGCAACGCCCACGCTTTTGTGGTTCGCCAGCCAGGGTGGCCTCCGCTGAATTGGCAGTGCCCCGCGATCCGTCGCGCTAAGCATTAGGCGACGCAGGATGCGACGCGACCTGAGTCTGCCTTTCTCTGCCTGCCGCTTATCGATTAAGCTACCTACACCATCCTTATCGAGGGGAGCTGCTTCCTCCCACCTCAGGTTTGCGCCAACAGCCCCTTCCCTCTAATCGGGACCTTTTGTTCTTCTCTCTGTTGCCTCCAAATTTCTCATCTTCATGTCGCTCGTCCTGAGCGATCAAAAGCTCAATATGTCCATTGCGCATTGACAAGACGTCACAAAGGCATTCAGACATTCTGCAGGGGCTGTTCAACATGGGTCGCACAAAGCAGACCGCACGCCGCGGCAAGCCGATCCCAGTGACATCCACTGTCGATTTTCATGGTAATTCTTTTCTTCCGAATAGGGGTCTTGATGAGCTGACATCGAAAGAACAATGGCCTGCCCATTTCATTGATCAACTGCGTGCGCACCTCGCCGATCACGAAACACTGCCAGAGACCCAAGAGACAGACGAACCTGCAGCTAAACGAGTTAAAAGATCCAACAGCGACATTAAAGCGCTACTTGTAGGAAAGGAATCTCTAGAAGTTGCGCGGAAATACCCAAGGGAACTGCTTTCCGACTCATCGAAACAGTCAACCATTTACCGCAATGTTGGCCCCCTCCTGCATGTTGGAGAGAGACATGGCAAAGAATTGATCATTGCATCTCGCGCCAAGTCTGGGGCTCCAATACACGCAGTCGTACCGGTCCATCCGAACGCAGTGTCTCGGCGCTTATCAACGTGCTTGAGCCTTTTCAACAGCGGTAAGTGGAAGGAGTCAAGTGAGGAGGGCGAAATATGGGTGTCGCTCGATGTGGCCATCTCCACACTGGGAGATCACCTCCAGTTAGAGTTCCGCTTCTGTCTACACTGGAACGAGACAAGAACACCCTATAGCCGACTGCGTTCAACGTTCGAGAGAAAACAAAGCCATAAGATCCTCGATACCTTCTTGTCCGATGGCTCTAATATCATTGCATCCGGGAGGCAGAGTTGGTCGCCGCTCGACTTCTACGAAGCGGCGCACGTTCCTCCCTCTGACGATGAGAATGGCCTCACAATCGATGTTCCGGAACTGACGGCATCATTATATCCTTATCAGAAACGAACTCTCAACTGGCTTTTGAAGCGAGAGGGCGTCTGCTGGAAGAATTCGCCTGATGGGAGTTCGGTCGGACTTATCGAAGATTTCCCGGCTTCCAAGGATCTTGATAATGCGCTCACTTTTCGCAAGACACAAGACGCACTCGGCAGAGACTTTTATGTCAGCCACGTGTATCATGTTGTCACCAGCGATCTTACGCCCTTCCAGCAGGCGGAACAATATGTCAGGGGTGGCATTCTTGCTGAGGAAATGGGTCTTGGAAAAACCCTTGAGGTTATTGGTCTGATCGCGCTCCATCGTCGGCCAGATGGCGAAGGCAATGCGGTCGTCACTGGGGAGGGAGAAGAACTCCTCGCCACGGGCGCAACGCTCATTGTCTCACCCAGCTCACTGAAAGAGCAATGGATGTCGGAGATTCAACAGCACGCGCCTCATCTCCGAGTCAAATACTATCCCGGCCGCAAGAATGTGGGTTTTGAGAACGAAGAGCTGCTCCGCAAAGATCTGGCAGCTCACGACATTATCGTAACTACCTACTCCATCCTAACTTCTGAGCTTCACTACGCCATCAAACCACCTGAGAGATCCCGAAGACAAGAGAGGAAGTACGAGAGACCTGCGTCTCCACTTACGCAGATGCTTTGGTGGCGAATCTGTCTTGACGAAGCCCAGATGATCGAGAGTGGTGTTACAGGTGCTGCTGCGGTCGCCAAAGTCATACCTCGAGTCAATGCTTGGGGCGTAACAGGAACCCCAGTCAAGAACGACGTTAAAGATCTGTTTGGTCTTCTCAACTTCTTGCGTTATGAGCCCTACGCCTCCTATGCGCCAGCTTGGAAAGCCTTGACGGACTCTCACAAGCCCCTCTTCCGATCACTATTCGCCTCCATCGCTCTACGGCACACAAAGCAGCTCGTCAGGCATGAGATTGCTGTGCCACCGCAGAAGCGATTTGTGATAACTTTACCGTTCACAGCCGTCGAGGAACAGTACTATGGCGAGATGTTCAGAAACATGACCCGAAACTGCGGCCTGGATATGGCCGGCAATCCCTCCAGTAACGATTGGAAGCTCGAGCAGTATGAAACCGAGATGCGGGCATGGCTCAATCGACTTCGACAGGCAACTCTTCATCCTGAGATTGTTCAACGACGAGGAAATGGAAGAAAGGTCGGTCCCATGCGGACGGTCGACGAAGTATTAGACGCTATGCTTGAGCAGGGCGACAACGATATCCGAACTGAGCAAAGAGCATACTTTCAGGCACGTCTTCTTCGCGGCCAAATGTTAGAGAATGGTCCGAGAGTGAAGGAGGCCCTGGAAATATGGGGAAAGGTCAAGAAAGATGCTTCAGTCCTTGTTTCGGAGTGCCGAGAAGAGGCAGAAGACGCGCTGAAAGAGTTGAGGTCTTCCGGCTCAAATCAGGATTCGATAGTTGACTTTCCCTCTGACGAAGATGATACCGAGGAAACGGACGAGTAAGTCTTGAAGACCATGATTGTTTTCCGCCCTTTCTAACCCTTCTAGTCTCTCGGGAGTAGGCCGCGTTGGCGAGGCTCGAACGAGACTTCGCCATGCGTTGGAAATCCTGCATAAAGCAACCTTCTTTTGTGCCAATGCGTTCTTCCAAATTAAGTCAAACAGCGACCTCACAGAGCCGGAATCTGATGACCACAAGAAATTGCAGCAATTAGAAGATTCCGAATACAGCAAAGCCCAGGAAATTCGTCGAGAGATTCTGTCCGAAGTACGCTTTCGCGTGATATTGTTTGTCTTCATCCACTAACTGGGCTGCAGAGTCATGCAAAGGCCATGTCACTGGTCAATAAGCTAGGACGGCAGGCTCAATCACAAACGTTCGTGGACATACCGGAGCTTGCAGTCAACTTGAACAAGGGCTTGGAGAGCGCAGGTGCCCTTGAAAAGCTCGAAGAGCTCTATGGTGTCCTCAATGAACAAGCGAACATCATTGACGAGTGGAGAGAAGCCGTCATTAGGCTACTTTCCCAGCCACTGATCGACGAGGAAGCTGAGGTCGAAAACACGGGTGAAGAGTTCACAGACTCTACAAAGACCCAAGAAGAACTCATCGTATACGTACAAGTGCTACGTGCGGCTGTTGCTGATCGTCAGGATGCGATTTCGGGTCTCGAAAATGCGCTCGTGAAGCACGAGACGAAGGTCTCACTGATAACTGCCAAGGCGGATGAGGGTCCGGCCCCGGAGCAAATGATAGCTCTTCACCAACTCAGAGACAAGGTCAGGCCAGACAGAGATCGGCATGGTTCAGTACGAGGCGCCATTGCCGAGCTTCGAGCGATCGCCTCGCGGTTGCCGCAGGACGGCGATGGGCGCGCGAGCGTTGAGCGTGAAATCGTTGTCAGGCAGATTAGAGAAACTCAGGCACATATCACCGCGCAGACCAAGGCCGCGACGGCGCTCGAGCGGGAGATGGACAGGTTCACGAGTGCCATGAATGCCAGAGTCGAGTATTATCGACAGTTACAGGCCGTGTCCGACAGTGTGGCCCCGTACGAGGGCCCCAACAACCAGCAAGCCATTGATTCATGCAAGGTCAATGAGGATCAAGCCCGTCAAAAGTTCGACGCCGCAAGGGCAAAACACAGATACTGTGAGTACCGCCTCCATCGCGCGGTTGCATTGTACTGATTCATGCGTCTCCAGTGCTCAACCTGAAGGAAGCCGGGACACAGTCAAACGAGCCCCGGATGTGCATCATTTGCCAGTCATCATTCACGATCGGTGTCCTTACTGTCTGTGGCCACCAGTTCTGTAAAGACTGTATAAAACAGTGGTATCGGGCACATCATAACTGCCCAATGTGCAAGCGAAAGTTGAGACTTACTGAGCTTCACGACATCACGTTGAAACCGAGAGAGGTCAAGTTGCTCGAAGAAACGACAACATCGACATCGCATGAGCCCAAAGACAAGAACGCAAAAACCAATGGCATTTACTCACAATTTGGCTCTGAGAAGATTGCTCAAATCAAGGATATCGAGTTAGCGGGCCTATCGTATGGCAGCAAAGTGGACTCGATCGTGCGCCATATCATCTGGCTGAGGAAGACCGATCCCGGTGCCAAATCGATTATTTTTACTCAGTATGCCGCACAACATTCCCTAGGAAACAGCATGCTTACCATTTGTACAGATACCGCAGTTTCTTGGGCGTCCTGAGCGCCGCGTTCTTCCGCTACAAGATAGGCTTCGCGTCCATTGACTCGTCAACCGGGATCCAGAGATTCAAGGAAGATCCGGGCATTGAAATATTTATGCTCCACGGACGGGCACAGTCTAGCGGTCTCAACTTGGTAAACGCGAGCCATGTATTCCTCTGCGAACCATTGCTAAACACGGCCCTCGAGCTCCAAGCTATTGCGCGGGTCGACCGAATTGGGCAGAAGCACGAGACAACGGTGTGGTTGTACTTGATTGAAGGGTCAGTTGAAGAATCCATTTACAACCTATCAGTCAAACGGAGGATGGAGCACATGGGCAAAAACTCGAAAGGGAAAGGGAAGGAATCCACCCCCGAGGTAGCAGAGCCTACACTAGAGGCTGCGAATACGCTCGAACTCGAGACGGCTTCTCTCAATCATCTCATGAGCAAAGACAAAAATGCGGGAGAAACGGTAGAAGCGGGTGACCTTTGGGAATGTTTGTTCGGAAGCGTTCCTAAACGCATTACGGCGAGTGTGGCGGAAGGCATCATTGCCGACAGTAGAGAGGATTAGATGTAGACTTCACTTGGTCTTTGGTGGTGACCAGGTTGCGAAGCCTGTCGAGGAGATAAAGACCTGGTCGTGTTTGAATGGCGTCCGGGAAAGCATTGGAAGCGATTTTGGACTTTATTTGTCTGTCTGGGTATGCAATAATCAGATGTGCCAAGCCATCTTGGTAGAGAATTGCCTGATAAGTCAACGGACTGGGAGTTGACAGCATTCAGGCCAAAGAAACAAGAAACGAATGCCACGTCGCCGCCGGGTTTCACGAAACGCGGAACTAAATATGTAGAATCAAAGCTCAATACATTCCACGAGTCTTGATTTTCGGTTGCATTCTTGGAACAAGAAAGTTCACGTCTAATACTATCCTACTTTCATTCTAGTAGCGTTGTAGCGGGGCAGTGAAGCATGAAAGCAGTACCGTTCCCATGCTTCGTTCTTTGTCAAAAAGATTGTCAAAAAGAAAGCCGAACTGCTGAAGACTGCAGCTTGGTCCGCTCTGGGGCGGTAACAAAGCGCAAGGGTTCAGGGGTTCAGGGGACCCACACAGCTGGCACCAGCTGTTGCGGGGTCTTCCTTGGAGAGAATCAAGTCATAATCGACTGCGCCCAGGCTGAGAGCCACCTGCCAATAACCAACTGAGGCAGCTGATATTACATCCCACCCAGCGAACGACCTCAGCAACCCCGCCCGAACCCGTTCGGATCTCACGAGGGGCTCTGCCATGAATTGAGAGAGATTGAAGACTGCCTCCAGGCTAGCAAAAACACACCAGATGCAGCTGTACCCCGGTGGTTACCATGTATAGGACTCGAGGAAATGCCCCTCAGGGGGGCGGTATCCTCGGCGCGTTGAAGGCGACCGAGATGCTGGATTTGAGGCCGAGTCTGCCAGCAGGTTGGTTTGAGTCTTTGGTTGGAATTGGAGGAATTGTGTACTAACCTGTCTGCCAGAGATCCTCGTCGCGATCCTCGACTACCTTCCCGTCGCAGACCTGATGCAGGTCGCTCGAGCGTCCCGTCGCATGCAAGAAATGGTGTACGATGATACGAGATGGGTCGCCAGATTGAAGAGCATGGGATGCTGGAACGAAGCCGAGGCGAGGCAACGGTTCGATGAGGCCATGCGGAAGAGACGGGAAGCCGCCGAACGGGCGGCGAAAGGTGCCGCTGGAGGCCAGCCAGGAGCTCCAGGAAGCCACCCTCCGAAACCCACGAGTACGATGTTGTTCGATGCCACGGTCGAGGAAGAGCGCCGGAAACGCCAATCGGCAGTGCCTCCTATCGATGGATTCGAGAGGATGACTGTAGGAGCACCGGCAGCCAAAGATCCGTTCAAGGACCCGGAGGCGCTGCTGGATGTGATCAAGAACTCGAGGAGTATCAGGGGCCACGCAAGAGAGGAATATGGCAAGATTTACGGCTCATTCGCGCCCTTCTATTTCGACCTTGCTAGGGCGAAGAGCCACACGGATCCTATCGTCTTCCAGGTGTTCAGGGACCCTGAGAGACAGGCTAAAATGCTTTCGAATCTGCAAGTATTTGCAAAGAGCGACTGGGCGCAGGGGTGGAATCAGCGAGAGGAACGACTTATGACCATGACGAGTATTTTTGAGGGCGCGGTGCTTCGAGAGTTCGAGCAGGGGTACGAGTTTTGGGATGTTGACGGCCGCATGAAGCGGTACGCGCATGTGCTGCATACACTGAACGGCGGCAACGCGGCAACGGAGCTTTTCATCCAGAAGCACCCTATATTCAGCGACCGCGAGGTCCTTGCGGTCAATTCGTCAGATTGCATCAACCAGACCAGTGGAGACGAAATCAACTTGGAACCCTCCCGACTGTTTTTCGAGATGCTGTTGCGGAAAGTCAACGAGCACGCTGAGATTATTGGGCGCATATTCGCCAACCCCGATGTTGTGTTCTGGGAGTTTATGGAAAAGGTCCGGGAGGATGTTATCATGGACTACATCACCCCGCTTTTCGATGCAACGCACGACAGAAACCTACAGTGGTATCTGAAGGCTGTGGCTGGAACCTTTGAGCAAGGCATGCTCTTCTTCAAGTCCGTGGTCCCTCCAAAAGATTCCAAGAGCAATCTCGAGGAAAAGGCCAAGGAGATGATGCTGAGAGTGTTTGAGCCGCATCTGGACCTGTATCTGCAAGAGGAGCTCGACTTTTTCACAAGACATGCCGAGTCGGAGGTTGCAGAATGGGAGAAGAAACTCTCTGAGCAAGACGCCTCTGTCGAGTCGTTCTACATGAGCAACTTCAACAGACAGGCAGATAAGAAGGACTTTCTGAGTTCTTTCAGAAAGGTAGTCATGATGCCCGTCACGGTGTTGCCATCTTTTGGCAGCACGAGTACAACAACGAAACCCACCACACCCAACGGCACATCTGCCCTTTCGCCTCAGCCGTCTAGACCGCATACGCCCAGTCTTGCACCAAACACGGACGGAAACGGCCGGCTCAGTCCTCTGCCCGCACAAGCTCCAACCGACGAGCTGGCGGCTAAGGCTGCTCTGATGGCGTCCAGAATGGAAGGCATTAAGACTCTTTTCAGTATCGAAATCGCCCTGAACCTAACACACAAGGCCAAGACGAGCATGGGTCGCGCGTCGCTGTTCATACAGCTCGGAGGCCAGTACGGCGAGGAAGCCCGTGAGCAATGCGAAACGATATTCGTAGTCATGCTCCGCATCCTGGGCAACAGACACGTCAAGGTCGGCTTCGAAAAGGCCGTCGAGCACCTTTCTCACTACAACCCCCGTGAGGTCAGCGACCACAACCAGTCGGGCGTTGCGCCTCTGGTGACCTTTATCGAGCTGGTCAACGTGGGCGACCTCATCTCTCAGATGATTGACGTCTTTTACGAGCAGCAGCTCGCCGGCCCAAAGATTGCAGACCGCAACGACTTCCTCGACCCCGCCGGCATCGCCAAAAAGAAGTGGGAGCAGATGCTGGACGAGAGCGTTGCGGCAGGCTTGAACAAGGGCATTGACGTCCTCATGGATGAGGTCGAGTACCTCCACGGCACGACACAGCAGCCGACCGACTACAACCCCTCCGAGACGGGCGGCATCTTGGCCGACCCGGGGCCGACCGAGACGGCGCTTCGAATCAAGGAGCTCGTGTCTTCACACACGCGTATGCTGGTCGGTACGACGGAGAAGTCGATGCTTGACGTGTTCAACGGCGAGGTGGGCTTGCGGCTGTTCACGGCCGTGTGCAAGCATCTCAAGCGGCAGCGCATCAGCACTGAAGGTGCGATCAAGCTCATTGCCGACATGAACCTATATTTCGAGTACATTCGCACCCTCAAGAACCAAGACCTGCTTGCCTACTTCAAGGCATTGCGCGAGCTGAGCCAGATCTACCTCATCGACGCCAAGCACGCAAAGGAGATGGCCACCATCATTGCCGACGGCGACCGTTTCGAGGGTGTGTTCCGCGCCGAAGAAGCGTATGAGTTTGCGCAAAGACGATCGGATTGGTACACAGTTAGAAAAGACGTGGAACGGGCAATGTACGGGATGGAATGCTCGCTCATGTAGAGAGGCATACACCAGACGGTGCTATATAGCAGTTTCATTCTTGTTGGAAATCATCTCCAATTGGAGAAATCAGGTAGCCTGTCCTATTCTTAATAATACCCCTGCTTGAACCCAATTGAGCCGTAACGCCTGTGATGCTGCATTGTTTTTTGTCCCCGTTTCGCCATATTCATGAGATAAGAGCGTCAAAAGCCCCGTAAGCTTTGCCCTATCTTGGTCCAAAGTCTAGCTTGCGCGCAACCTTAGCACCCCTGTCCTCGTCGACCAAACCTGGTCGCTTTTTGAGATCTGCACCCATCTTCTCCTCGCCGCCCCCCTTCTTGGGCAGATCCGCGTTACGCGAGGGCTTAGGCTCGGTGCGCCACCAGTTGTGCTTCAACATGTCTTTGGCCGTGATGCGCTTCTTAGGGTCGAGAATGAGCGTCTTCATGAGCAGGTCGACGCCCGCGGATCCCACGGTGCCGAAAGTACCCTGGTAGTAGTCCCTGCCCCTGACCGGCTCGCCGTCGTCGGGAACGGTGTACGCCGGCAACTTGGTGACGCCCGGCCAGTTGTCTTCTGTGGGGGTTCCGACGGCACGACAAATGAGCGAGATCTGCTGAACCTCCGTCTCAGAAGGCATGTACGGCGCACGAATGATGAGCTCGGCAAAAACGCAGCCTACACTCCAGACGTCGACGGCGCCGCTGTAGTGCTTGCAGCCGAAGAGCAGCTCAGGAGGGCGGTACCAGCGTGTGATGACCTGGTTCGTCATGACCTGGTGCGGATCCGCGAACCCTCTCGCGAGACCGAAATCAGCAAGCTTGACCTCGCCGTCGGCAGCGATCAGCAAGTTGTTGGGCTTGATATCGCGGTGCAGCACAAAGTTCTCGTGGCAGAACCAGACGGCGCGGGTTAGCATGCCCATCCAGGCCTTGATATCCGCGGCACCGTAGCGGACGTTGGCGGTGTCTTTGATGAGCATCTCGAGGTCGCCGAGGGGGAGGTATTCGAGGACGAGGTTGAGGTTCTGGTCTTTGGAGGAGAAGACGGAGAGGAGGGAGATGATGTTGGGGTGTTGGAGTTCCTGGAGGTGCTTAAGTTCGCGGACGGCGTCGGGTGCCATGCCTTCCTGATATTCTTTCTGGACTTTGATCTTCTTGATGGCGACGAGGGAGGACTTGTCGGAACGGAGGTGGCCGAGGAAGACGATGGCGTAGGTACCTTCACCTAGCTTCTTGCCTGTGCAACGGTTAGCATCGCCATTTCGAAGTCGAGAAAAAAAAGATCAAAGAGTAGGCATACCTTTGACATATTTGCGCTTCTCCTCCTCGTTCATCTGCTCGGCAAGGTCCAGCGTCGGCGGCAAAGACGCGGGTGCATTCTTGTCCTTGGGCGGCTGCGGCGTGCCGTTGGCGGAAGCCTGATTTGACGACACATTTTTGAATGGCGAGCCGATTGAGCCCGCCGGCTT